GCACTCGGGCTCATTTTCGACTTCGGCATGATTCTCGTTCAGCTCCTCAAAACATTCGATGTCGAGAATCGCTGGAACGCCACGCCGTGACCTGCAAGTGCACGTTAGCGATACAGCGTGCTTCCATATCGTCTGTGTGCGGTCCGACTCGGAGGCAGCCCCACGAACTTCATTCGGATATATCGAAACTACTACTTTTCGCTGAGATTCAATGGAAAGGTCTCCGATAGTGCAGTCGATTGTATCCAATTATCTCTATGAGAATAAGCTGTCACTGTCCCGAAAGCTTAGATAGAGCCATAGCATGAATTTTAAGTCCCGGCTGAGAGACGGAGCTCTCGCCATGGCGAGGGACGACTGAATATGCTCAAATATACAGAAAATATCGAAATATGCGTTAAGCTCCGAAAACCCCCAAATATGCGGATATGCCTTAAAATATGCGTTTCATAGAATTCCCATCCCTACTTATGAGACTTGCAAGAACAAGAATCCCTGCAGTGAAAAATGAAGGGGAGGCGAAGTCGAGTATCGTCACTGGAACCGGTAGAGCTCTATTATTTCACATATTTTTCGATTCGAGAAGACTCTGTAGTGCGAAATTCTACGGACAACGATTTCGTCCGCTTACGGTTTGATTTCGCCTCTTTGTTGAATGTCGAGAGCCTTTTGTGCATCTTGACAAATACCATGACGACATGCGTCGACATTTTTGTGGGCTAAAGTCGGAAGATGTGCTCTTTGTGCACTACAATCACTGATGGATGGTACGAATGAGTGAATCTCAAAAGCATACTCCTGCTCTGAAAATGCATCTTTCGACGTTCTCTCTGCATTCATTGATGCATGCATGATTCTCTCTCTCACAGTGTCTATAGCGTAATATTTCCTGTCCTTTGCGGACGACACAACTCTTATTCTCTCGCACCACGACCCACGTTCCCTCGGTCAACTGAGCTCCAAGGCAATAACAAGAAACAATCAATGGATGGTCCGCAACGGTCTGAAGCTTAACGCTTCTAAAACTAAATTCATCCAATTCGGGAGGGACGCACCGGACTTGGCGATAAGGATCCACAACCCGAACTGCTCAGACGCCATTCTGTGTATGTGCGAGAGAATCGAGATGGTGACTTCGCACAAATTTCTGAGGCTTCTCGTGGACCGAGATCAGAGGTTCAATTTACATGTCGAGGCAGTATGCGGGAAAATCCGGTCGGGCATAGCTGTTCTCACAAGGCTCAAATACGTCAATTCAACCTCGCTGAAGATATCAATTTACTTCGCGCTAGTGGATGCCCACATCCGTTATATGATCCAAGTCTACGGTGGCACTAATGAGTCAAGGTCGTCGGAAATCCACGAACTCCAGAAGAAAGCCGTTAGAATTGTCCTCAACGAACCATACGATGCTCACTCCTCTCCGTTATTCAAGCTCAACATCTTCGAATTCAGAAAGCTCTACGCGTTCAGCCTAGTCGTTTCGCTCATCTCCACAAGCCCGGCTCTCCCGAAACCGAAACATGATCATCGAACACGTTTCAAAGTGACGGGTTCCTTGGCTTTGTCGACCCGGATGAAAACACGCAATAGGAGAACGCCGATCGCGAACTCCATCAAGCTCCACAACAGCCTCCCATTCGAAATCCGGAACTATACAGGCAACTTCCTTGTGTGTACGAGAGCTCATGTTAGATCTTCGATCAAACATTACTTCCTGAACCTGGACCTAGACGTTATAGGTAGGATACTCTACTAGTCACCCTGGATGAAGGGTTAATAAATTCCCAACACATCAAAAAAATATATGTAGCGTGTAGTGCGCGCTCTAGCCACCCCGTTCGAAAAAGCCATCAGGGATATTGGAAAGCATCACCGCTCGAGACTGTTTTCTCCTGGGCGTCCGCGGGCTCGGTCTCGGAAGAACGATACCTAGTCCTTCATCCTCATCGCCGAAAGATTCGTAAGAAATCGCTTCCACATCGGCCCTCGTGCTAGGGGTCACCGTCTCCGATCGTCCCCGAATATTGACTCGCAACACGAATGGGTCCGAATAGCTCGCGGAACATCGAAGATGCGGGTTCCAAGATCCCAGGGTCGCTTAGTTCGGGAGTCACCGCTGTTCCCGCCTTCATACACAATCTAGTCATTTCCGCCGCTTTAATCTGCATCCTCCGATTTCGGTCTCCCCTATAGGTATCTCTCCTAGATTTTTCCGCGGGAGATCCAATGAAGATCCAATCAAATTATCAGCGACCATCGAAAATGCTTCGGACTCTTCAGGGTTTGGCGCGACCACGGAAATCTCGAGCTCGAAAACTGGCGTGAGTTTCCGATCCAACAAGGATATGCAGAAAACTAGAGGGGAGCCGTGGTTGCTCAAGCAATCGTCTTCGCCATTCGTTCAAGCTCGTAGTATCCGCTCAGAGACTGCCCCTCGCCCTTGGGGATTCGTGCGAAGAATGGGGTCTCGAAGTCTTGCCGCTTCTACAGAGGAGTGAACGTCGCGAACCAGGTTTTCGTGCCCCCGTGCATCGTTGTCTGGGCGACTCCGAAGGTTTCCGGTTCGAGCCCTTCATTGGAGGCAGGATCCATCTCTAGCCGTTCCAAGCTATCCTCGGGCTGCTTCGCGTCCAACCGCGGTACTTCTATGCATAGTATCAGATTTTCCGCTAGGTTAGCCAGTGCGTCAATGATTTCTTGGTGCGCTTTCGCTTCCGCGATTTCCCGTTCACCGCTACCCCCAAGTTTGTTCTTGCCGCCTTGTGCCAAAAGCTTTGCCGAGCGCAACGAACTCTACTGCGATTGAATTCGACTAGCCGCCAAATCGGTAGCGACGCTGGAATCGATCAGCGAATCAGTCTGTCCGTATGATACATATTATGATCTATCTCCACTTTATGTGAATGTGAATATGCATCTCTCTAATGTGTATCTTCGAACACAACAGGGTTATCAAGCTGAATTGGCGAAAAAGCTTCGTTAACTTTGCAAAGCCGGGCTGATTATATCCGCTTGGCAGTCAGGTACCGGAGGGATGACGAGAGCATTCCACACCTTTCGATTCTGGATCGATTCGCTTCGACTTCATTCCGACTTATAATAATAGTCGACTCATGATACTAGTCATTGTCATCGCGCTCCCGAACGCTCCTAGTTCTGCGCTTCGGCACCTGTAGCGCGCCGGAGCTCGAAGTCGTCTACTCGCGCGGTAGCAAGTCTCTGATGGCGATGAGATTGATATCGCAGCACTAGGGAAGTGAATCGATAGCTTTGGTGCTCAGATTTGGCTTCATGTATCGGAAAAAAGCAATGATGCTCATGTCACACTGTATCTTTCGGCAGTTCTTGATCACAATCGGTCAGTCCTGGGTAATGCTTCACAAAAATCAAGGAGCTCCCCATTAGTCGTAGGCAAACGTTCCATATGCTCGGAAACTTTGGAACCCTTGACAACTCGCGGCGATCTTGAGCGGGATTAGAGGGGGATTCATTAAAGAGAGGAGCTGGTGAGTGTAATTTCGTTATGCAGCTGATTAGATCAAATTTTCCAGTTCATGCACCGATCTCAATTCCGGTAGGCATATTGCACATCGACGAAACATGGAGCAAGGATCATATTCCACTCTCCGAAGGCCTATATAATATTGGCATTTTCCATATTCGAAGGGAGTTTTTGTAGGTTACGAATGCTCGCATGTACCATCTTCCTTTCCCCGATCGGATCGACGCCGACGTACTTACTCGCAAAAATTGCATTGGCTGAGCTCATAGCCGAACCTGCTTCAATTTTTCCCAAAGGATAGCATTCGAGTCCACGAACGAATCCGCTCTTGTCATTGGTAGTGTGAAATCACATGGCAGCGGAGGCAGTCAGGAATGATTAGGGGATTCTATTTCGAAGTTCCAACAAGCGAGAACTCAGCTCTGAAGCAAAACGCTTTCCTCGAGAGAAGGCCGGAGAAAATACAAAAGCGAACGAGCTCGCAAGCAGGCGAGTGACCGCGCTTGGAGGACTGGCTCGAACGTTCTCCGACGTAAGATCGCATGAGTCTCTGGACCCGCGCGAAAACCTCTTGACGCCCAAGAACAGTCAGGCTCAGCTAGGCTCCACCGTTCGACCCCTGAATCGAGTTGTGAGCCCGATCGAAGGAGAGGTTCGACAAACGATCTCTTCATCCGCTTGAACAAGCTCGTCAGGAGGACGCATGATGGCAGGAGCTGGGTTCCTTCCGCAAATACTTTCCGCACAACTCGCGCTTCCGCAGCAGCCCAGTCATCCCCGCGCCAGCAATGGCCATGGTGAGCGCTGAAGAATTGCAGCCTGCGAAATTTCTGATGATGGCCTGCGCGACACCGAATTTGGGAAGCCAATGTTCCGCGATGGACGAGCTCAATTGGTTGTACCTCCGGGACAGAAGTAGCGTCCGTTCGGACCTTTCAGAGGAATGTGACCGGGCGCTCTCGAGGGAAGCGACATTCCTCAACTGGACTCAACTTGGTCACATAAGAACTTCACCCGTCGAAAGTCCTGCTGAATATATTGGATATCGCATCCGCTAAGGAGGTGCTCCCCGTGGAGCATCCTAGTATATCGAACAATTTTAGTCATTGAACGAAAGATCATACCCGTTCTACCATTCGCAATGAATTCCGGGGAGATCTTGGCTCCTCCACCGCCTGCCGAACTTTTCATGAAAGGAGCCTTATCCGTAGCTCCTTCTCTCATCAGGATTGTATGGAAAATTCTCTCTTCTGCCCTAACCGTTGGGAAGATTTCCGCGTTGTCGCATATTCTTAATCCGAGGAATCGTCGCTCAGCTTGTCGAGTCTATCACTTGACATTGTGTCAATATCGAGGCGAGATTTGGATGCCTTCAGCTTGCGCGCTCCACCGAATGAATATTCTATGATGGTAATTTATCCGAACTCTCCCATTTTTTTCAGGACTCGAAGTCATCACTAAGCTCGCTTAGAATGTTGACAAAATCCAGACAGGCCTCAACTCTGATCTGGAGATGATGCTGATACTCCTCATGAGTCCAATGAGCCTCGACTCTCATGAGAGTTGTCCTCCCGCTTAAATGTGCTCTAATCGGTAATTCTTAGCTGCATGGGGTTAAGTGAGATCTGAGTGCGCTCATCGATAATTCAAATGTTCAACGATCCAAGTAGCTCACGGCTTCGTGTCTAGTTTCCGTCATGCAATAGGCATCGATTTCGATAGGGAGACTCACGATAGGGCGTGAGGAGCTGGCTGTGGTTCCCGGTATAGAAAGTCCTGACCCGGCCCTCCCAGGGAACGCAGCATGGCATGGTCCCGCAGCGAGCGATCTGATGGGGAACTTCGCGTCCGACATTGGAGGTCGATGTAACGCACCATAAAGGAGACCATGAGGCAAATACATTCGGCGTATCGACATCGACCATTCACCGTTCGGGAGGTATATCAACACGGCGAGGGATCAGAGCGATGATCCACCGTGTTCGTCCCCACCACTGCGTATTCTGATCGCGTACTCCCGCTCAACTCGGACGACCGCGCCGGAAGCGGGCGACTGATGGAAAAAGCGTAATAGCGAGAGCTTCCAGTTGAGGGAGATGCGCTACTGATGAGATCTTGTCCGAAAGTATTCTTATAGCAGGAGCTCCCAGTTCAATCGAATCACGAGGTCGATTGCAAGCTGGAACCAACCATTCTCGGGCATTCCTTAGTCGTCGAGCTGACTCTGTGAGATCGGGACACCTTACATCGTGTGAATGAGATGTGGGTCTGCTGATCGTCGACGATTGCTCAAAGCTCGATGACCCCACGAGTAACTGAGCAAGCGACTTCCAACTCCGCATGCGCCCGAGAGTCCAATATGTAGAAAACACATTGAATATCACTGACGCATGCTCCAAAAACGCAGCTTAGATTCGATCATGCTCCCGCGAGGATGAAACAGATGGCAACAGAAATTGCATGCGGCCCATTATTCATCCAGAATGACACCGGTTCTGGTGAATGCATCGTCGAACTTTTTCGCTCGGACTACGTGAAAAGTCAGAAGATTTATCGTTTGGCAGCAAATATTGAAGAATCGAGAGCCTCGATGAGATCGTGGAAGAGACTCCGCTCAGCAGCGATTCGCGACTCGGAAGGATCGCTTACAGCGGGTCCCCGGGACTGAAAGCGCAGCATCGCGCGAAACCGCGAACGTGTTGCCCGATACTGCGTGCGGCAGCTTCCGGAATCCCTGTCGCTATCCCCAGGGCGCCGAATCTCCATCCGTCCGCGGAGAGCGTCCGATTCGAGCGGGAAAACGGACATCCGTCGATGACCAAGCCTCCGTGAACAAGCTCGTCAGTGCCGGTGTTCTCGGGGCTCACAAGGCACTCGAATACAGACTCGGCTTCGAATACATGGCGAACACCCGCCGACACAGGATGAGGCGACCCTCCCATCGCGCAATCAAAACGACACATCTCTGGTCAGGCTGCAGCTGCCCCTGAGAGAGTTTTAGCTGGGAGGATGATGCACCGACTCTAGCCACCGATATTCTTCAAAGGCTCATACAGTTCACTGCTCCCGTCGAAATCCCCGATTTTCGGGTCTGAATGCCCCAGAGAGCGATTTGCGCAAAGGATACCCGTTCCTTGATTCGGTGCTCGCATTCGTTCCCGGATACTGCACTCCTGGGGCACTTGGGCTGTTTAACGGGTATCTTGCAGATGTCCTCGTTATGAGCGTCGTTGATTTCACATTAGTTTCAACAG